TGGGTTCATTGTTCCACAGAGCAACCGCAAGCGACTCTGGGGGTGAGTCGAATGAACCGACATTTGTGTGCTTATGGTGTCCGAACATTGTGTGGTTAATGCATTGTGTTTGTGATTGTGTGAGCGCGTAGTGTATAAAGAGAGTGAAGGAGTGAATGAGTGAGTGTACCTGCAGTGCAGGGGGGAAGTTCTACTTGCATCTAAAGAGACCGGGTGAAGCCTGGGGGGTGCCATCTGGGGCAGGGAGCACCCCTCGGAGAAGTGGAACAGGTGGAGAAACGTGGGTGAGGACACTTATGCTGTGTTGTGTTGAGAAAAGTGGGCACTTTAAGAGATACCACCTTTCCCTGGTGAGTTTGTGTGGTTCTTCGCCCGCATTGTGGTAATTTGATTCTCAGGATTGTAGGGTTGTGTTTGTGGAGTTTTTATGATTTTGTTTGCAACAAGTGCAGCATTTTATGCAGAAAAGCTACAGTATGGTGATTTATGTTTAACTGTGGTAAAACAAAATAAAGGAATTTCCAGGAATTCTCCTCCCACAGCAGCTTAAGCCCTGGTTCTCATAAATTTGATATACCAGGGGGGTTGGGGGGGGGGCGGTGGTCTGTGTTTGTGGGCATATCAGAGTTTTTGCTGTAACAGACACAGCCTTCTGCAAGGCAGCAAAGTGAATGTCAGTGCAAACAATGTTTTAATTAGATTGTGCATGAAGAGAACCAGAAAAGACTGAGATTTTGTAAAAGAGAGTTTAGATAGAGGAGACTACTGAGTTTATATAAAGGGGCTTTATCGGACTTCAGCTGGCAATACAGTTAAGTCTGGACTGAAAACAACCTGCTGTAGAGGTTAAGTGATAAACACCGAAGTGATCAATGGAATGGCCTGCTGGCAATTCCTGGAAGTTTTTGGTGCATTGAGAGGCTGACACCTTGCATGAGTACTATTGTAATGCAGAGTTTGTGAGAAGGGCTAGTATTGCTGTTCTATGCCCCAAGTGTAAATTGAAGGTTCCTGATAAAGCCGATTCAGAACCTGAGATCTTAAAACTTATGTGTGGAGGATCACAGACCTGGAGGTCTGTGTGTGAGAAAAACTGAGAAAAGACTGTGAGGCCTGGGTGGAAAGAAGATAGTGGAGATAGAAACAAGATAAGGAGATAATGAGAATTAACCAGAGCAAAGAGGTTCCCCTTTGGCGGGGGCTCACTGGGAGAAAGCCGCCAGGAGGGGCGTCTCGGAAAATAAAAACATTTATAATACCCTATTGCAATGAATGCTGTTTTAGGATGGGAAAGCAAATACGGCGAGGTCTCGTATGCTGATGGTTTTTGCCTTAAAGAATCACCCAGAATGGCAGAGTAACTGTGGATTCAGAGCTCTCTCTGACCCACTGGTGCTACATCTTGAAAGAGAAAACAGAGCAAAGAGAAGACAAATCAAATGTGTTGTTCAGCATGCAGTATAGGACAGCAACGTATGAGATCGGACAAAGTTTATCCTGCTGAAACACAAAAAAGAAGCACATATGATTTCTTAAAGGCTTCTCCCAACGTAAGGGACGATGAGGAGGACCTCCCCGAGAGGGTAGAGGACTCAGGCTCTGAAGGTATACCCACCCAAACACTCCTGTCCCCTGGCAGTTCAATTTCACCCAGAACTAGGAGGTAACAGACTGTTACAGTGAGCTCATGGGCATTCTGTTACCCCTTCCCCGGGACCCTGTGACTCTGATCAAGATAACCCTGGATCCCTCCTTTCTGCCCCAGCGGGGTTGGCAAAGAGCCAGGGAAGCCCACCCTGTCCAAAATCTATATAGACCCCTGACATTTCCTGTTCGTCCTCTTTTGCCCCGCTCTCCCCTAGGATATCACAGAATAAAGAGAGCTGAACCAACTTATCTTGGGGTAAGAGACTCTTTTGGAAATCGTTGCCATCTCCTGATATTCCTCCCCTCAAAGCCTCAGATCTCTGGGCTAGCCTGATAATTCAGGGGGCTGTGATGGGGGGAACGTTAGTTGGTCCCCAACGCGTGCTGCCGTAAGCCCACGAAGAAGCTGGAGGTGCTATTTCAGATGACCTCAATAGCTTTTTGGGACAGTGAGCTGCCCTAATACTCTAGCTGCCCTTAAAGGCTTTGAGTGAAAGGGAAAGTTCGGGGACCTCGCCTGCATACCCCAGGCGAGCCGGCTGGAGAGGTGCAGTGAATGCTGTTCTCCAGGACGGTTTGGATGAATGGAGACGAGATCTCTGAAGGTTGCTCTTAGAATATAAGGTTTATTAGGGATGGTGAAAGGTCTTGCTTGGAGCTGCCAGACGCAGCACATGGCAAGGCCTGAGGTGATGGGGGAGGGGAGAGACAAGGGGTTCTAGGAGAGGGTGGGAGATCTAAGAGGGGGGGAGTTCCAAGAGAGGGGAAGTTCCAAGCTGGGGGAAGATCTAAGAGGGCGTCTGGCCCCTCAGAGACCCCTTATCAGGGGGCTTCAGGGTGTGCTGGAACAAGACTTGGGCCAATGGGGTCACAGACACCTGATGTTTCAGGGGAGGGTTACAGATGTGGGATGAGCCATATATTTTGGGGGTTGAGATGGAACAGTCCATTTGACTTTTGGACCTATCTGTAGGTAAGGGTATTGTCCAGCCAGTGAGGGGGGTTGTTTTCCTCCTGGCTGTACTATTGTGAATCTTCTGCCAGGCAATTATATTTATCCATCCTTCCCAACATCTCCCCCATTCCGTTTGAAAAATTTGAGATACTAAATATTGACTTAACCACTATTTTCTGCATACTCTGAGGTATACAGGGTATTGCTACTAAAACTACACTTATTACTATTGGAACAATCAAGCTTACTTTACAGAGTTCCTTTAGCTAAGGTGCAAAGCTCAAACCATCAAATAAACTGTTCAGCTAAGATGGATCATCTGTTCTTAAATCACTGATTATAGTAGAGGTGGCATTTACTTCTTTACTGAGCCAACATCCTAACTTGTTTGACTGCTTTAGTGTAATGGAAGAGCTTAACTGAGTTAGCATTATCAAAACCTTCTGGAAAAGGTCCTCTAATTAAACAGATTAAAAAAGGTTTGTCAGGGCTTGTGTCAGATAGACAGATGGTATCAGAGCCTGCAGACTTGGCTAAAGCAACCCAGGCATTTGTCTTTGGTTGACTTACAGGTAAAACTTCAATACAAAAACTAAAACAAAAGAACAAAAGCAACACGCATGCATGCAAACTACTAAACTCTATTCTTTTCTTGAGCTGTTTCTGGCCGGTCATTTTCTCTTGATGACTCTGCGCAGTTCAGGTCTGGGTGCTTGCTTCTTGGCTTGTACTTGCAGAAGTACCACCTGGTTTGGTGTTGCCAGTGGATTTCGGTGCGTGGTAGGGCTTCACATTCTTTGCTGGGACTCATTTGAGTCCTTCACCTGTGAAAACATAAGCAAACCCTTTCCCCCATGTTATAAGGTTGTAGGGCCCTTCTATTCATCCTGTATCTAAGTTTTTTTATTAAAACTTGGGGTTGCTCCTTTATTTCTGCTTTTCTGTTGTACAGAAAATGTCTATAAATGGGGGGGGGGGGGGGGGGGGAGTCAGGCTCTTCTGTAGAGCTATTTAGAAAACTGTAAACACACAGAGCCTTACTCAACCTCTTTAGAGGTGTAGCCTGATTTACTACCCCTTTCTGTTGATTTAAAATACGTTTTATGGTTTGATATGTTCTTTCTATGGTACTTTTCAACAGCTGTTTAAAATACGAAGAAGAGATACCACCGTCATTTATTGCTTTTCGCAATTCTTTCAAGTCCTGGGAAGGGATAACTGTTCATGTTCTGGGACCAGCAGGTTGCTGGCTGGATACCACAGGCATGGTTTGGGGATTCAGACCGTCCTCTTTGTGACTATCATGTGTGATTCCATGCCAGTCTGTCAGTTGGAGATAATCCACACCTTTCTGGGAATTTTGTAAAATCAGGATAAGAGGGTTAGGATTTGAAAGGGCAAAATCCCCCCCCCCCCCCCCCCCACCCCATGCTTGGATCCCGTGATACGGCGGGAATTCAAACAATTCGTGCTGTGTTACAAAGTCTGGTGGAGAATAGACCAGTGATACGATTAAAATAATAGGTGCAAAAGTATTGGTGGAACAGAAGAGCACACCAAAACATTTTAGCATTATTTTAAACAATGTATCGTTCTCAAATAAGCTCCTCCTGCGTTTTGTATGCTGGCTAATAGCAGAAATACCAAATTTTACTGTGCAAGAACTGAATTTGCTTTCTTTTTGGGACCAAATTGGACAGATATTAACTTTAAAAGTCAAAAATGGTGAACATAAAGCTTCTCGATTTATTCCGATATTTTTACAAGCCCGAAAAAAAGATTTTGGAAGCAGAAAAGAGCATACAAACACAGAATCACAGCCCGAATAATCCCTTTTCACCCACCTACCCACCTCCTCAATATCCCAGCCCAGATATCCCTTCACCCACCCTCTTCTTAGGCCTGGTTCTTCTGAGAAATATAGTCCAGAGTTCTCTTCACAGAGCCCTGCACCGTCTCTGAAACCCACGCGGCAGTATAATGGTGGCGACCATGTGCTGCGACCATGTGCTCCGACCCCCTCCCCCTCCCAATCCTTTCCTGCTCCCACCCACCCGCCCCTCCTCCAATCCCTTCTGATCTCCCACAGCTCCCTCACACCCTGGCTTATCAGAGCCAGCCTCAGCCTTGCCCCGGGACGGGAACGGGTGCGGGGCCGGCCCCTGCACAGCTCCCAGCCCCGGCGCTGAGGACGGCGCGGGGGGAGGTCAGAGCAGCCCAGCAGCTCACAGCATGGGCGGGCCGGAGTTGCCACTGCGGCACAGACAGCCCGGGAGAGGGGGTGCGAGCTGCCTGGCACCGGGACTCGAGGGGTGGCGGGGGGACACAACCCTGCCTCTGTAGATGAATCTATACCATCTATAGCACCGGTTGTTTATTTAGGAAGGAGAAACGGTACCAGAAGATATCAACCACTACCATAAAGAGATAAAACAGAGATCTGTGAAATACAGAGGGAATTTGGGAGGTCCAGTGAGATTTTTAAAGGGATGATTAGGGCAACCTTCAATTCAAATGAAATGGTACTTAAAGATGTCATTGACTTGTTTAAATGTTTACTAACACCTTCTGAATATGAGATATGGGAAAATAAGTGGAAGTTAGCTTTGACAGTAGTTTTACAAGAAATACAACAAACGCCCAGTGATGCCATAGACACGGAAGGCAACCCTATTACAATGCATCATTTATGTGGTATAGGAGACATACAATGCCCAGAAAAACAAACCAGACTGTTATCTAGATCGGTTTTGGAAAAAAATCTGTAATGCTTCAGAAAAAAACATTGTATCAATTACCAGTAACTGAGGCTAAGGACAGCTATATTAACATTAAACAGTTTCCTTCTGAGAGTTTTTTACAGTTTGTGGATTGTTTGAGAAGCCAATTTGAAAGACAGGTGCAAGACACCAGGGTACAAACAGAGCTGATTAAAGAAATGGCTCAGAGGAACGCGAGGCAGCTTGGAATCCTCACCTTTGCCACACGCCAGTTCTCATCATACAGGTGGTAGAAGAGTGGCAGCAGACTCTGGCACACACACTTCTTCAGGGAATCTTTTCCCTCTTTCTTTAGGTAGACTATCGTCTCTTGAAAGAGGCAAATGCAGTGAAGTTGCACTTGGCTGGTGTCCTTGTGGAAAGGAAGGGGGCAAAACCTCAGCATTGGGTATTCCAGGCCCACCTGGGCAGGGGCCTGAAAGTCCACAGGGCACAAAGTTTCCTGGCAGGACACAGCACCATGATAGAGGGTACAGTCTTACACTGTCAATGAGTGGCCGGAGCGCCTCAGCCAGCTGCAGACCAATGGGGATGGCAATTGCCGCTTTGTTGTCCTGGAGCATCTTGCTGAGCACAGAGAGGGTCAGCCCAACCAGCTCCCCATCCTCATCCTTCAGTAGTTCCATTGAGCCTTTCAGGAAAGCTCTGCAACCTTCCAGCCTGCGTGGAACACAAGGCTGTATTGCAAAGCTATGGAAGGCTGCTCCAACAAAACTGTTCTGGTGGTGCAACCCATGCTGCAGCCTTAGGGCCCAGAAGGCAGAGATCTGCCCCAAAGGACTTGGGCAGCTCCATGGGAGGCAGAAGTGTTGGTAGCAGCTGGCACAGCCCTCAGAGCCCAGCCACATTCTAGGTCCTGTGTCACCCAGCATTCCCTACCCAGTCCCATGCTGCCAGCACATGTTCAGCCAGCTCTTCTCACCTTCCAGGGACCCCTGCAGAGCACGAGGAGGCCTCTGAGCACCAAGAGATGCATTTCTTTGCAAACACTCTGTAGATGGCTCGACATGAGCTGCAGGATGGTATCAACAATTTCCCCTTTTTCAAGGCATTGCAGGAACTGAAAGACACAGGTTGCATCATACAGTGACGGGGTTCCCAGCTGGCAGGACCCCAGCACCACACAGGGCAGGAGCAGGGTCCCAGGCAGCCCAGCCCAAAGGCAGCAGAGGCTGTGCAGAGCCCCTGGGCTCTGTGCCCTGCACAGATCTCTCACCCACTTTGCTGTGCCCTCCAGCCCTCGGCAGCCTCAGACTCTTTGACCTTGAGGAGCCATGATGGAAGAGTGGGGGCTGGCACCAGGGTGGCAGGAAACAGAGGTGGAAGTGTCACCCCTGCAGCAAGGGGCCAAGGGCACAGAGCAGAGCCTGTGCTCTGCCCCTAGCTCCACTGATAGGGCTCCCCCCACAGCTGTGGCTGCAGGAGATAGCGTATCAGGAGGCAGCTCAGCGAAGCAGAGCTCGCCATCAGGATCACCTCAACAAGGAATGCCATGGCAGGGACCCGCCAGCAGGACTCCTCCCTGCTGAGGAGCATGACCAGGTAGCGTGTGATCATTTCACAGAAGGACCTGGAGACATGGTGCATCTCTCTGGCACAAGGAAGAAGGCAATATCCTGAGCAAGGTGAGCAAGCCTCTCCTAACACTGACTCACACAGGCCTGGTCTTTCCATGCCACTACTCACCAAGAGAAAGGCAGTGTCCAACATCAGCAGGCTGTTTTTGGGTAAAGACACTGTGAAAAGCCTCTAGGAAACCATGCCCCCCAGGCTCTGTCACTGCCCCTCAGTGCAACCTGCCCTTCCCCAGCAGGCTTCCCTCTGTGGGGCTGCGTGCACAGCCCCCCCGCTCTGTGCCATCACCCCAGGGGCCCCCGAAAGCAATGCTGATACTTTGGGAGGTGGCTGCCCCCGTGCATCTGCTTCTCCCAGCCTTTTTGCCTGCTGGGCCATCCCTTGGTGACAGTGTTGGCTGTCCCATCCGCAGGGGAGCAATGACAGGGGCAGCGAGAAGAAGGAGGCTCTCACCTGGCCAACAGGCCCACTGCATAGTGATGGGTGTCATTGTTGAGGAGTGTGTCCCAGCCTCTCTTACGTTCAACTGCCAACACCATATCGTCAAGCCACAGACAGCAGAGCAGTGCTTTCACTGTCAGCACTAAAAACCTGTGTGCAGAGCAAAGCTCAGGTCAAGCAGAAAGCCCTGGCACAAGCTCCAGGGGCATGGGAGAGACAGAAAGACTAGGATGGAACACCTTTTGGGGTTGGTGGGAAAGTGCTCTCTCTTCTACCATCTCCTCCAGAGTATATTGATGTATTCTGGCATCTGCTCTGTGCTGCAGAAAACTTGGACCAGCAGAGCTACAAAGAGGGAGGGGGCAACTATCGATGCCTCTGGGGACAAGGGCAGATGGATGATCTCTCACAGTTCCTTGGTTGCCTGCAAAAAATAGAACACCCAGAAACCATGCTTGGGCACTGCTTTGGGCCATGGAGGCACCAGCCTGGCTGCCCCTAGCCCAGGTTTCCAGTGAACCTGAGGGAAGGTGATGCAGAGGTGAGGGAGTATGGAGAGCTGACTGAACAGTGACCCTGGGGGCAAGAAAAGACCTGGGGAGAAACTCACAGCCAGGGCAAAGACTTTCTTTCTGTCCGCATCAGAGGTGCATGTGCTGTGCTCCGGCCAGTCCTCCAGAATGCAGGGCAACTCCGACAGCCCCATCTTTGCATTCCTGCTTGAGGAAACGAGCACTTTCCACATGGTCAGAGCAGCTCTGCAGGCCCAGAGCTTTCTGTCAGTGGGGTCTCAGACACAATACCATGGCCTAGGCAGCCACAGGCTGGCCCCCAGCCCTGCCCCTGCCCAAAGCCTCTCGCTGGCAGCACCCAGAGATCCTGTCCCTGCTGGTGGGCAGGTGGCCAAAAGACAAAGTCTTGAGGGTCAGGGAGGGAGCATGGGAGCAGGCTGGGACTGACATGCTACTGCTGGGAAATGAAGCAGCTGGAGAGTCCTGGAACTCTCCATCAGTCTGACAGCTTACATGGGATGGGGTCTGCAGAGTGATGGTCTCTAAAGGCAGATGGGCCCCATACCTTTCACATGATGGGGCAGAGCACAGGAGGGTCACAACCACATCACTGGGGTGTGCATGGGTCAGCTCTAGAAGGGACTTGTCCAATCTGTGCTCAGAAGACACATCCTTGTTGTACACAAGCCACCGGTGGATGAACTTCACAGTGGTTGGCACCTGGAGGAGACACGGAGGAAGAGCTGGATTGCTACCAGAGTGAGCCAAATGCACAGCTTCTGCAGAGAATTGCTTTGCTCCCCGCCACACTGTGCTGGCCTAAGGAGCTTTTGGGTGCCCATCTGACCTGGCTTGTGTGAGCACACAATCCCTAAAGGCTCGAGCCTTGGCCACAGCTACTTACACGCTTCAGATTGGAGCTTTCTGTCTGTGCAAGCAAATCCAGCATGACAGCACAAGCCTCAGCATTATAGGGGTCACAGTGTGCCACGCCCTCAATGGTTGCAATGGTGGTATCTTCCTGTTCGTCGTTCTTGACGTATTTCCAAAACTTCTTGTCGCTATAGGACACGAGAAAGCAATGCGAGCCACTTGCTACCTTGCAAGGCAAAAAAGAGAGCGTTTATTTTCTGACTCCAACTTTTATACTTCTCCAAAGGTGACAGTGGATTGGAGAGTGAACGGGCCACCTCTCCGAAGACATTGGACAAAGCACTAGTACATCAAGTCTCTCCACCCCCATGGAGGAATGCAAAACAATACGTTATTTACAGAAACTGTGTGGGAAAGTTTCCCAATAGAATGTAAACTCAGAAGGCTTAAGAAAACTCAAGAATCAGGGCGACAACTTCTGTAGAAGGAAGGGCCAAGAAGGGAAAGCTGTCCATCAAACACCACAGTGGTGTTTCACAGCTGTACAGCAAGAGCACCAGGCTGGGATAGCTGTGGGTACCTGAGCTCTCTGTCTGAAACACCTTTGGGTGTGCTTCTAGTCTTCTGTCAGGTCTGGCAAAGGCCAGGCACAGTCAGAGCTGAGGAGCTGTGGGAAAGGCTGGAGCACAGCTGAGCCCCCCTGGAACCGCTCCCCAGGCATTCCCAGCACAGGGAGGCTCAGTGAATGGAACACGACTGCCATGGAGCATCAGCCCCATCTGCTTTTCCCCTTCTCCCTGGGGATGTCCACAGGGGATGGGATGGGGCCAAGCCGGCTGCAATCACTGGCCCTGCAACCCAGCTCTGCCGCTCACCTGCCCGCACCGGCTGGAACTTCTCCATCTTTCCAGGAGGCCATTTTGGGGCAGCCCCAGGGCCTTCCTCTTCCTCCTCCTTCCGCCAGGCCTGCCCAGGAACACTGGAAGGTTTCCCTCTGCCATCCTGCTGTCTGGCCTTGAGGGCTCTGGACATGGGGGCAGGAGAAGTCTACAGAAAACACAAGGTTAGCAAGGAGGAAGGTGGCTGCTCGGGGAATCCTCACAGAGTCCTGTGCTGTTTCATCGTGTCTTTGTCCTGTCACATCCTTCAGACACTGTGGCTGTTGTTGCCAGCACCCATTTCATGGTGGGTAGATAAAGGCCCTGTGACACACTGCCACATGGCATCCCATCAGCAGCGTCTATGTCACAGCATGTCACAAAGGGCCCTGTAACCACAAGTGCCCTGGTGCCACTGCCCCATCCTCTCAGTGCCTCTCAGTAGCCCAGTTTTGAGGGCCACCCAACATTTTGGTATCTTTAGTAATGGTGGAGATGTTTTATACCTTCTCTGAAGAGGTATCAAATGAGTAATAGTATTTCTAAAGCAGTTAGTGGTGATTTCAGTCCAAAGGAGAATGTTGTTTCCCTGTAAACAGATTTATAAGACTGTGTATGCAAGATGTTTTTATGTTTAGATTATGGAGAAGGTAATATCAGAACCATGACATCTGTGTGAACCATACAGTTTCCAGACAGACTGGGAGAAGGTGTGTTTGGAAATCAAACACTCCACAAGGCAGGTTGGAACACCCTGAGTTTCCTGCAGTTGTGGTGAGACTTCCCCAGGTGGATGCACACCTGTTCTGGGCTCCCAGTGAAAACCAGCTTTGTTTCACACAACAAAGAGCACAAATCCAAAGCTTTCCTAAGAGACAGAGATCTTACTGTTACAGAGAAAGTAACTGAATGAGCACCATAGACATGCTATGAGTCAGAAAACAAAAAGCAGCACACTCCAATCTAAACAGGGGTTTGGAATAACTGTTATTAGTTCAAGGTATTGATGTTAATAAATAAAACAGTTTCAAGGAATTAAACTATCCAAAATTACAGTTGTTATAAAAAAATTCACTTTCGCAGGCAGAGTTAGTAATGGCTAATTATTACAAAAAGTTATTATGGATTGATAATTAATATAACAAGTTGTTGCATACTTAATGTGATAAGTTATTGAGTTGAATGTACCATTATTTAAGTATGTATTTATGGCTACTAAACAGAGAAAGAGGGTTGGTAATAATGTGCAATAGTAAGAATCTTCTAGAAAATTTACATCATAGGGTGATGACAGCAACTTGTACTATGATTGGGAAACCAGCCACCGAATAGGATTGCTGTATTCCA